CAGCTCAATTCTATTGAACGAGGTGCGCTACTTATCCCAGTTACATCTCGATCTCCTTTATCCAACTACTTGACTGTCCGAACATTCAAGCTCGAAGGCAGCATCGTTCCTCCAATAATCTGTCCCACTAATCCAATAACATGACCGAAGTTCCTGGATTATTCCGCTCGAAAAACTCAAACTGTCATAAAACTTCTCCAAAAGAAATATAAAAACTGGCCAGATTAATACTCACCAATACACGATGACACAAGTCCATCCAGACAGTGTTCTACGACAGAATTGCCCACGATGACCTCACGATCTGAACTTTACTCTTCTTTCAACGGCGTTAAGATTTTTTAAAAGCACAGATAAGTCTCTGAGAAATGCAAAAGATGTTCTGGAGCAGTGAGGACGATTAGTTTTTTTTTGTTTAATTTGTTGAGAACGGTAATTAATACATAACAAAAAGGTGAAATCTAAATTGCGAAACTCTGAATTTAAGGTAACAGAATCGCCATTCTGGAACGACAAAACAAGAACGGTCGGAAAATTGTAGTTGAAGCACTGATTCGTCTAAAATTATTCCAAAATATCCTCAACAATTACTTCCCATCCTCGATATCTTCATTAATCATTATTATTCAAGTTTACATTCTACAACTTACAGATTCTTCCTCTTCCTATTGGAAAGACAAAAAGAATATAGAGCTTCAGGATTCAGTTACAGTTAATCCCAATGATGGAAGACTTGGAAGTAGGCAGTATATATTCGACTCATTCAAAATGGGACAGAGAATGAATTTCAGAAGGTTGGGAGTTTCAGGGATATGATTTAAAAATGAATACCGGTAATGATAAATAATCTGCAGTATTCTAAGGATATGACTTTTCACATTACATACATTAAATTTATGTTAGGTTGAGTTACATTGCAAGTATGATACAAGGATAAAAATGATTGCTAACATCTTATTCGACTGTAGAAAAGAGAAGGATAAGATGGCGCTAATGCGACGGAGAAAGTATACAAACTAGAAGATACTAATATACAATGTACACAATAAGGCATGTGCTATGAAAATAAGTCAGTAATCCTTAACATGAAAAACTGTCAATAATAGAGTAACTCACCTAATCATATTAAAAAGAAAAAAAACAACAAAACAAGAGAAACTTAGATAACACCGCATTATATTAAACGAGCAGGGCTCAGTATATAAATATCATTACTAATTGTATGGGTAAAGGGATGGCGATTATCATCTTGCATATCACTACGCATCCCACCAAACATTATCAGCTCTCCTCGACCAGCACAAAGCGAATACAGCATTGTATCATCTGGTGCATTTAAATCTATTTCTTGCTGGCGCCATCTGAAAAATTCAAAATTTCATCTTTAAACAAACAACATATAAAAAACGCAACTCCTTAGACGCATCATCATAGCTTTCAATAACTCACGTTACTGTACAATCTTCCAAAACTCGTGCGGTATCGAGTATATAAACACAAGCATTTCCTAGACGCCTTTTATGACACCAATTTTCTGAAAAGAAATAAAACAATGGAAAACTAATTACACCAAATATAACTCTTTCGAGAGAAATTAATAATGGATACCATTCTTCCGTTACAGTCGTTAAATATAACGAGCTAAACAATGAAATTCGACGCAGGGAACGAAAGAGTAATCTTTGACAAAAAGGGAATTATATAAGAACATAAGAAATAAGCAACAGCAGTAGGTAGAAGTTAATGTGCTCCGCTAGCAACCATTTTTGCAAATGATGAAGTGATTTTAAAATGCTGACGACAAAAAAAAAACTTACTTCCGAAACTTCCCAATGCTGCACCTGATGCATCATTAATATGCTTCAAATTGCTGAAAAAGAAAAAGTATGTGTTCTAGGCCGGCAAAAGTAAAAAGTAAAACTCATAATATTCATACCGTGAAGTTAACAAAAGTTTGGAAGCAAGTGTTCATAAAAGGCTGAACATTAGAAATGAAGTGATAGGAATGCGATGGAATCAAGATATGTCAACATCTTTTTCTCATATATCCTTCATAAAAAAATTACCGCTATGTAAAGAATCTTTTAAACGAAAAATGTATATAGATGGAACAGTTCCTAAAAAGATTTTTTCTTTACAAAACCAAAAAAAGACCTCAAAGATCTGCATGGAATCTGTAGGAAAAGAGAATCATTAAAATAAAAGCACATATTAAGAACTTGCTTTTTAGCATGTGGTGAAGAGGTAGACGGTTGACAACCCGAAAAATTCGGTTTTTCATTCAGTGAAGGATCAACGTTGTCCCTATAACTAATATAATATCTTACATTTGAATTGTTGTAAAATTAACCGTTTATCAGTCATATTTTCGAAATACTGTTCGGATTTCAAAATATTAGGTTTAAATTTAACAAGAATTATACCTTGTATTAGAGGATTGTAGCGTGACATTATTCACTGGTGGTGGCAGCTAAATAAAACTATAATAATTTAATAGTTTCATATCCTGTAACCAAGCAATTTTTTCATTTTATTTAAAAATTACGTACCAATTGAGCAGGGTTTCTTGAAAAAATCTGGAACGGTGCTGAATACGAATTTAAACTGACCGTGCTATACCTGAAAGATCTTACGTATTTTTTGATCCTTTTACATATTTGAAAAATTACTTTTATTGCACGGAACAAAGTGTAGCGAATGTCCAATGCATGGTTCTGGAATCAAACACTGCTCAGGATGTATTTTTAAACGAGTATACCCATTGCTTTTTCTTGCATAACTTATACACGCAAGATTTTGTCCGATTGGACATGCTGGGTGGCACCAAAGCTGAGATGGACCTGATTTTGGGTTTGTAATCTGAAATAACAGCGAGTTTATACTGCCACAAAAAATTTGTTAGATAAACATTAAAATTCCTTTAATAACATTTTGCTCAACAACAATTTACTCTGGTAGATTTATTTTTGATTCTACTATATTTCCACAATGTTTTCGTTTTTGAGATGAAATTAGAGAACACTACAACAACACTATAAAGAATCTGACATATATATCTACCAAATATATAAATGCCCAAAACACAAATCTTTTGGATTTGGATCACATTCCAAGAGTTGGACATAACTTATCTTGAATTTGAATTTGATTGAGAAACGCAGTACAGTTGAAAACTATTTTATTTAGCATCAGTGGAGATCAATGGAAACATATCATCAATCTCTCATGCTTATCAGAAAACAATTATTAAAACTGACATTGATTTGCTTCCATTCCCAGGCAGTTTGTAACGTCAAGTCAAACGTAAGGAGCCAAGCATCGTTATAAATACAGTTTGGGCCACCACAGCCACCGATCACGAGTAGGTGTGATTTGTCAATTACCACACATGAGCTACCATAACGGGGGTTCGGCTGTGGACTTTTCAACAAGAACTGTTGGCCGGACGATGCGTCGGACTTTCCACAACTTTGGTCTTTGTAAATCCTGCTAAAATTGATGTTTGATATACTAATTTTTAATTGGACCAATCACTGAACACAAATGACCGAAAACTCGATAATATTCAAAATATCATTTCGAACTTTCCAACTCAATACAGTAAATGAGCTCACTAAAGCACCCGAAATGAATAAATAAGAATCTGGTATTCTCGATAGCTTATTAATCAACGAACCTGTGCAGAGTCATTTCAGAAAACTTACTCGACGAATGACGGCACGTGCCAAATTTTACTGATAATATCCAGAACATAAATAGTATTTGTAGCACGGCTATTCTGTGAACCACCAAAAATAATCAGCGAATCATCTACCACACATGCACAATGACTTGCAATCACAGGAGGTGGAGGCTCTGTTTCGACCTCAAAACATTGGAAGAATCAGAAAGACTTTGAATGTCCAAATCTATTCATTAATCGTCATGTAAATTAATCGTCGTGAAAAGTTGTTTGATATTAGCTAGCTGGCATGAATAGAAATGATTCTGCTAAAATCTTTTCTTAAGTATTCTGTTTTTCAAGATTCGTTTTCTGTTAAATATCTTGTCAGTTTGTTAAACCAAACACTTCAGTGTCATAAAAGATATGATACAGTTTAATGAAATATGAAGCACGGCTTAAAGTCTTAAGCAATAAACCGACGAACGTACCACAACGGAAGCAACGTTTTACAAAATATGTACCACATGGATAAACTTTGATTACCTCAATCCACTCATTCGTTATAGTATCATACATGTGTATTTCACTAAAAAAATTTGCTGCTTGATGGATTGGGTTTGGCGAAGACTTTGCAAATCCACCATGAAGGATCAAGTACTCCTTATAAGGTACAAAAATGGACATTGCCTTGGGCCGCGGGAATGGAGCACACTTAACAAATTCTCGGCACCAAATGCGGGACCTCTGAAATTACAATTCTGAATTCTCTAGAAAGTAAAGGTGTGCTTCTTTAACTTTCATAAGGGTTCATCGATCTTAAATTAACAAAATAAATTGAGCTGTACATAACTTCCTCTAAAAATCCAGCAAATTTATGGAGAAAGTAAATTTATACCAGATCAAAACTCCAAAGGTCGTTGAAGGCAGTATAATTATTGGTACATCCACCAAATATATACACCTTTTTGGTGCCATCATGATAACAACCTGAATGTGAACAACGTTTTGCAATAGCACTATCATCTTTCTTTTCTGCTGCATACAGCTCCCTGGAAATAAGATATACAACTATTTCGAATATTTTTGCAAATAAATTTCAACATGAAAGATTTTTTCAAACAACATGACTAGTGTAAATTTTGTCAGATACAGTTATTAGCAAACATTGTTATTTTGGCATCATAGCAACCGGTTCCAAAACATTTAATTCACATTTCAACCAACCAAATCAGCTGATTGCATTGGATGAAGGATTTCTTTAAAATACTGATGATAGTACATGCAACGCGATACCATCGACGACTAACCAATCGGACACTCTCCAAATCGCCGTACTGATTCAAATACGAGAAGATTATTTCTAAGACGAGATCCGGCAATTCGTTGATATCCATAGTTGCATTTAAGTCATAAATCTAAATTTTAAAAGATGTATACACGTGCCACATGCACCAATCCCAATTCATCCATGGCGATTGTACTTGTGCATCGTATCCGCATCCTAATTCTTGGCATGTATAATTCAGGATAATCTCATGCGGTTGTGCAGGTCATGTATGTCCTACAGAAGGTACATGAAGCATGCGAGCAGATAACTATATTGTAAGTCCTTCCAAAATGGAAACGAAATCATAAGAAATCGAACAACATGAATGGAATTCTGCCTTCCGGTTCTGTTTCTCCCTCCCTTCTGCAGGAAGTGCTAAGTGATTTACTTAACGTACCATTTACGAAAATTTGCATAATAACAGGAATTTTAGATATTTAAGGGAGAAATACCGAAGGACTGAAATATCGAAAGAGTTCAGCTTGATGAATGGTCATCCGAACAAATCTAAGTGACCGCTGGAAAATCTCAAGAGTAACATAGTCAACGCTTCTCTAGGACTAGCCCGCTGGTACACAAAGGGAGAAAGAAAAAGCAGACGACCAGAGGACCATCATTTTTTTGTTCCAGAGGTAAGAATAGCAGATACGCTTATGTCTGCCGAGGGAAAGAGCAAGAGATCCTGTGATATTCCCTTGCTTTTCTCTCTCTCCTCCACTTTGCTCTCTCTTATTTCTCCCCTTATTTTTCTCCCGTCTTCTCTTTTTTTGCATCTTCTCCCACTTTCTCTTCAAAGTATTTAATTCTACAAAAAAAATGATTTATTTATAAACTGCCTGTTGATTTGCATTTCTTATTTGATGATATCATACTCGAAACTTATCAATTGAATTCCATCTCTCATTCAACAGTTTTCTGCAATTTTATTATTATCACTAACTGTCTGATTGTCTGAATCTCACCACTAATACATTCTCTGATTGGTTGTGGAAATGCTACAGCAGAATGAAGGAATTTACTTTCTATTTATTCATTAGCAATTTATTAATGAGAAATGAATGGAGTCGATAGTTTATAGTTTGGAGTGTTGATATGATTGATTGAAGATTTATTAAGGATGGCAGTTTCTCTGTTGTCTTTCTTCCTTTCTTTTAACTGCTACAACTGCTGGGAAAGGTAAGGAAGTAGGCCATAGACGAAGCTAATCATCAGCTACTGCAAATTTCACTTGACCTTTCGAAGTTTGATTTCGAATGCATGTGGCATCGAACAACATAAAATGTACAATTTCTGAAAATGTTTAAATTGAAGCAGTTTCTTCAGCAGTGGGTTTGAAGGATAGTGATGCCAATGACTGCATCGTCCTTCTCGGATACGATGTTTCCTGGACAGCACGTGCGGATTAGTGTCGCTGCCAGTCAGGTATGCTCAGTTTTCTCTGTTACCGCTGTTGTCATTACTGTTTTTTTATCTTTATAATGGAATGAAGATGAAGTGAGCACTAACTGTGCAGTAAGAATTGCTACAATACTCTGGCAGTTGTCGACCGATTAAGGTCAAGCCCAAACCACCAATAGCTAAGTTAGATATTTGAACAGAATTACCTGCTAGTTAAGATCTTAAATTTTTTTCAAGAGACATTATGGCATCGATTTTTGTGCATGTTACTGTATGTTGACAGTAAAAACTTTTTTTTCTTTCCTCTTTTCTTGTTTCATTGTTACTTCACACTTTTCAGAATAAGCCACAGTCCAATAGCGAAATATTGCTGTGACTTCTTTTGAACCTTATAATTGTTTTTGTCATCATTAATCTCCTCACCGCCTATGTTGCTGTAATGGTACATTGTAACTATTATTACTTTGATACGTTCGAGGGATTTCAGCAAAAAGTTTTCAGGGTGGCAGAAGATATATGGAGGATCGAGTACATATCGAATGTGTTCGGCTTCCCAGTGGCGCTGTTGATTACCTTTACTTTGCTGTTTACGATGGGCACGGTGGTTCAGAAGCCAGTGACTATGTCCGAAAGCATCTCTTGAAGAACATTCAGTCACAGTATGGCTTCGATGGTAGTGATGAACAAATGCTGGATGCTATAAAAAAAGGTTTCGTGGAAACGCACCTTGCGATGTGGAAAGTTGTCGGTTGGTAGATGAATCTATAAACGAATTCCTTTTACGTAAATCTCAGCATTTATAAATTTAACATTTGCGATTTCCTGAAGTTTTAAAAGACTTCACTGGTAACAAGAACTTTAGAAACGGTGCTTTACAGACGATTGGCCTCTCACTTCCTCGGGTTACACCAGTACGGCAGGTACCACTGCCAGTTGTACTTTTATTCGACGTGGAAAGATATTCACTGGGCATGTTGGTGATTCCGCTGTAATCCTAGGAGAAATGGATAGTTCGTTAATGTTTTTCCTTTCTTTTTTATTTACAAATTTTCGCCCGCAGTCTTCGGAGAATTCCATGGTGTTTCAAATTCCACAAATCAAAAATATTTCTGAAGCGAGAAGAATTTTTAGATGGCGAAATAAGAGCTAGCAGTTTGACTGTTGACCATAAGCCCGATAATTCTCTCGAAGTGCAACGAATAAACAGTGCTGGTGGGATGGTGATGAAGAAGTCAGGCGTCACACGTGTTGTTTGGACGAGACCTGTTCGAGGTCATGTTGGGCCTGTACGCAGGTCTACACCAACCGAAAGTATTGCTTTTCTCGCTGTTGCTCGTGCTTTAGGTTGGTGGAAGTTAAGAAATATTTGTTTCTTTATTTAAGTTTTAAGAATTCCTAGTTTTAAGGAATGGATTTCTTTTGAATTTTTTGAAATTCTTAGATTTAAAGTAACACCCATCTTACGCTTAAAATAACACCTTTCAGGACTTTAGATGCAGTTCCGAAGTTCTTGAGCTCTGATTCTTCTGGATTTTGCAGGTGATTTATGGTCATATAATCGAGAAACAAAGCAATTTATTGTGAGCCCTGAACCAGATGTTGCTGCGTATGATCTAAACGATAACAATTTATGTTTGGTGCTTGGCTCAGACGGACTAACCAATGTTTTAAAACCGCAACAAATTGTCGATATTGTGATGCATTATGAAAAATCGTCACGTGATAAAGTAAATTTCTACTGTGCAGATATTAACTTCAGCGACAACAGTAATTTCTGATAAGACAGAAAATGTGGGTTGAATTATAGAAAGGAAGAGGAAATAAGATCGCAACGAGACCAACATTTATTCCAAGGCGGTTTTCTTGTGAAATTATGTACACATAGGCATTTTTAAAGAATCATATTAAATATTTCATTAAACATTATGCAGTTAAATACTTCGTTTACTCTATCATTTTAGCATGGCAGGTTGCCGAATCATTCTCGCTGGATACTGCGCCATGCACTGGAAGGTTGGGGAGCGTCACGTGCTGATAATATATCAGTTATATCAGTTAGTTCATATGTAATTTTCTTAGAAATTTTCTATGAAACTGGCCATCAGTGAGATCTGTCACCAAAAACCAGAACATCATTTAGATTTTTGGTTGATACTGGCTGCTGATTATCGCAACCAGAAACGAAACTGTTTAGAAATAGTACAGTTACTAGTTGGCAAAAATTATCCGTACTACCCTCAAAATAATCAGTTTAAATAGTGGGTGCAGTAGGAGTTCGCTGGACGTCCATTTATCATCATTGATTTATGGTAGCCAGTTTTTTTTTCTCTCTCTCTCTCTCTCTCTCTCTCTCTCTGTGATTTATGCTGTATATTTTCAGGTATTTTTCGACAGAAAAGTTATAGAAGTTAATGAAACATCGGTTCTGGCTGATGATATTAATTTGTGTCTGGATAGAGCACTTACAGACTTTGGGAATTCGACGGTCATATTAGGACCAAAGTATTGTAAACAGCTGAAAACATTGGATGTCGATTTGTATTATTCAGGCATCGTAGATCCCAATTTTACTACAGGTTAGTAGCCATTTATATCACTTCCATAAAGACAAGCCTGTGACTTCTTTCCGATAATGGAGATTTTAAAATCGTCGTTACATAATATATTTCATATTAAATTTATTATTTTTCTCAAAAGTTGATAGAGCCGATTTCAAGCAGTTTGTGGTAGGGAATAAAAGTGAAGAAAATCTGGCTAATTGAACTTTTGGAGCTGATTTACTCAAACGATACTGCGAATTGGGATCCTCGTAAACTTTAAATTTCATCCTTTTATTCCTAAAGAAGCGGAGGAAGGGGATGAATAAGTTTTTGACATGGAGACTGATTGAAATAATTCTAGAAATCGCTTATAGTGGACCTGGATATACTCGTGATATCAGACGTCCGCTTGCCCTCGTACAGTTCGCAGATGTGCCAGTTATGCCACTTTCTTCGTTAGATCATGTCTCAGCTATACGTCGTTTAAGTGAATTATTTGGCACGAGTGGCAAAGTTAAAGTATTACCAGCTGGATGTGTCACTGGCGTAATATTGGAAGGAATGGATGAATTATACGAGAGCCTAGTAGAGTAAGTGGATTTATACCCGTGAAGCAGCGAGCTTTTCACAGCTTTTTGGGAAATCATAATACTGATGCTTTAATGATGTTGAAGCTGCTGGTAGGATAAAGATGTAAACCAGTAGTCTTGTCGCTGAAGCAAATTTTCTGCTGAAAGAAACTCCGAATCTGCAAGTGAGAGGATGGTAATAACAAAATGGGGGTAGGACTATCTGTATGAGTCAGCCCCTTTGCCATTATGTTCACGATGATAAATACTGTTTTTTCGAGAGATCATTTACGCAGGTTAAAAAAATCATAGCTGAGAGTATATAGTCCACAGGATTGATATATAAGCTAAATTCTCAAATGTATTTTATTATTATGTTTAACCAGCGCCATCTTATCTTTTGCAGTGAAGGTATTCTATATCCCTGTGATGAAGATGTAGCGCGGGAGGAGATAGTTGACAATACACGTAGTGATAATGTTTACAGTAATGGGGATGATAGTATAGAAGCAGAAGGAATGTGTGGAACCAATTCGAAAGCAAACACTGACGCGGTGCATTTAAAGGTAATGATTTCTTGAAGTGTTCTAAATGGGGATAAGGTAAACAATGGATTGAAGCTCACTATCTAAACGAATGACTCACATGAAGGGAGCAAGTCTTTTTTCTGCATTCAATTAATGAATTATATTTTTTGGTAAGAGAAAGGGAAGGAAGGGATAGAGAAAGAAAGGCAGATTAGCTCTCAGGTTTGTCCTTACAGCTCTATACCTACCAGGATTATACGTATTTACCTGCGATTCCAAATCGGTTTCGAGAGATTTGTTTTGTTTGATGGCAGCAGTTCTTTTTTCATCATTTGTCAAAGTAAGGAGAGGAAATCAAAGTCTTACTGTCATCTCAGTATCAACTATTTTCATTATGATGTTATAACTGCTTTGAGTTCATCAGGTCCAAAATGTCCTTCTAACCCTTCTAGTTCAGAAATGAGCAGCGTGGTAAGTTGCTTTTCGGGACATTGTTATTCTGATATTTTTTGTTTATGAACAAGCATTTCACTGGCAGTTGAATAAATAATCTAATAGTGTTATTTATGAACTTATTCTTGACAAAATGGTTTCTTTCAGGAACATTGCAATATGCCGTCATCTTTTTCAAGCAAGAAATCTTTATTTGGTTCTTTATCATCAAACCCTTATTCAAAAACTATAAGTAATCTTTTAAATAGACTTCCTAAAACTTAAAATTATAAAAAATAGCGAAAACACAAATTGCCAACCAATTCTGCTTACTTCGAGTTTTTTTTACTTCAGGAATCACCGGAAGCAGGATTTCTTGCTAGCATATCAGATTGTTCTCGAATTTATTTTGCATAGTCAGCTCAAGAGATGTCTGTTATTTTTCTATCTATATACGAAAACTTCTTTCAGAACAAAGAACTGTACTTAGGGCTACCCGAAGGAAACAAGCAATGTATTTAAAATCTGTGAAAGAAGATGGTATCACAAATGTTGGCGGTGATAACAGTATTGGTGAGGACTATTGCAACAATAAGCAGCTTTCTTCGGCCAGTCACCGCAGTGACTTTCAAAAGTTTGCTGCTTCACAACGTCTCAGTGGTGAATTCTTGAAGCTTCCGGAATTATTAATGTGTTTGTGTTGTTTTATGATAGCTTAGTTCTTGATAAGGCATCAAGACATTTATTTAAAATGGATAATATAAAGATAAGTTTAGTTCGTAATTTTTGATTATTAGAATGCTTTTCATTTTCTTATATATGGTATGGTATGTGTAGTACCTGACCGTAGTTAGTGACTTATAGATTTATTGATTTTCGCTTTGAACGAAACCTGATCGTAGTTAGTGACTTATAGATTTATTGATTTTCGCTTTGAACGAAAATCCGCGGTCTTGGTATCGGGACATCCTTCTTGTCTCACGAGCAGTTCACGAAAATTTTCGCTGATTTTGACTTTTATGAGTAAAATTTATAAACAGGTAATTAATTGTTGAAGGTAGCGCTTCGGCCTTGTCACCTTCGTTGATGTTAGAGGCCCTGCGAATCACGAACCAGTTATTCGAGCATGATCCTTTTGCACGTGATCTCATTCTTGCTGGACGGCGGCCGTTTGCTCGGCGTCGTCTATCCTCTTCATCTTTCGAACCATTACAAAAGAAATTTAAAGTTTCTGTAGAAAGCTGCACAGGTTTGCGAGCGCAAATTTATTTGTCAGTTTTTACGTTTTATGTGCAAAGATGAAGGGCTTTACGATCTTTCATCAACGAGAAAAGCAGAGATAATTCGAAAATGGTTTTCTATAAATAAAATTTACTGCCAACATCCTTTACTTAAAACATTTTTATTAATCATGAAAGTTTTTCCAGATCATGCTTATGACGCCTCCACCAGAAATGTTGAAAAATTGGAACAGGATGTTGCAAACGCTAATAAAGCTGAAGAATGTGCAGCACCAACCACTAGTAGATCTCGCGTGTGGGATTTCCTTTCCAGTTTGTTGGGAAATCGTGCAAATAAAAAATAATGTTTGGGATATAATTCCATCCCGTAAACTTTGACGTGCTGATTCGTTAATTTATTTTATGTTTTTAATATTGATACCGGAAGAATGATGTTTTTAATATTGATGCCATCATTCTTCCGGTTTATCATCTTCCATGATAAGTTGGAAAAAAAATTATGCATAAATAAATTTTTATGCAAAGTGAAGGGTTTTTCGTCAAGGATTTCTCAAATTCGTAGTTTTCTTAATGCTTGTTTCAAAAATATTTTCTGTTTTCGTCTTCCTGCTGATACTGTAGGAAACTGCCAATATTACTGCTCATTCCAATATTATGAAACTTTTATTGTATATTTCAATTGTGTTGATTTTCTCTCGTATCATTGTCATTTTGTAGAAGCTGTATTTTACTTCCCTATAATAGGATCTTATATTTAATAGGACGCTTCTTTTTGTTGTTTCCTAGGATTTGAATCTTCAAAAAATAAAAAATAAGGAGCTGCTTGAAGATATCACATTGTTGAGACACTGGTCAGTTTTTTTTTCCTTGTGAACTGGAGTCTTCAATTCCTGGTGCATTATTTAAATGCTTAACTAACTGGATAAGTTAGAGCCAGTTTAAAATAATATTTGTCGATGCATCAAGGGATTTTCATTGCAAAATCTTTTGCAATTTCAAGTTTCTTAGCAGCATACTAAAAGGGCGATAACTCCAGTAACCGAATGTTCTCGGATAGTAGTATTTTCTATGCACTGTAATTTTTTTGAATACGTTGATGCAGCTTTTGCTAATTGCGGTTAGTCAAAATGGCATTATTGTTACCACTAAGGAATTTCTGAAGGCAAAATCTGAATTTGCCAATTTTGGTTTTGCTTCCAATGGGGAACTTGTACAACTCTATTTCTAAGGCTGCAAATTGCTTGATTGTTTGTATGTTTATTTATAGATTGCATCTCCTCTATGCTTTTCTGTTTGGCAGTGTTTTGATTTTCAGATATAAAGCTTTTAATTTTGCGATAAACTTGCAGTCGTTGTCAACTCACCATAGTTACCAAAACTATTCGATTTTCACTGCAGTGTTTTTTCTTTTTCTTTTTTTTTTTATTAGCAGGGACCACATACTAGTTCGTCAGAAATAGATGGCGGTGTAAATTATCAAATAATTCCGTTTAAATTGTATTGGGCGAATATTCGCGATTAAGCTCTGACACTCATTAGTTATTTTCAGGCTCGGACCATTGTGGCACTTGAACAGGGTAATGAAATATACAGTTTGGTGGGGTTTTTTTCTTCTGTCCGTTAATTCTAATTTTCTGCTTCATGAATAGATGCAGTTATTTAAACTGGATTAAAAGGAAGTATAGAGAGTTAATTTTTATTTTTAAACCTCTAGTTAAACGGAAGGCGTCTTGATACAGTTTTATCGAAGTGGGAGATCTTTTCGGCATTGTTCTAACTGTTTCCATGAAACGTAGAAATCATTGTTCGACATTTGTACCAGATATTTGTTCCTACGCGATTAATTGAATTGATAGCTACTGCTTGCTACTTTTAAAGAGAGTGATGTGTTCTCATCTACCGAACTTTTCCTCTCATAATCACATTCCCTTCTGCTTCAAGATGGATATTATACCATTGCCGCTTCAATATTCATTTTTTTTAGATGTATAATTCCTGTTTTTAAAGCCGATTATATATAGATCAATCTAGATTAACCAGTTTGCTTTTTGACAGTACAGTCTTTTTTGGAAAAATAAATTTTTCAAGATTTTGTTCTATTTTAACACTCGCTTTGTCAGCCAACACACCAACTCAAACTACGAATTGGTAGAGTCGGGATCTTTACCAAAGCGTATGATAGTATGCCACCTGAAAAAGAAAGCTTGAATATCTTTTTTTAAGATGAAATATATTTTAGAAATAATTTGAAACTATGGAATGTACCGTATGATATGGTGCGACAAAGATTACTTCCTCTCTCGTTGGTACGAATATTCAAATCTGATTACAGTTCGATCTGAAGTCATTTTAATAATCATATGAATCCATGTGAGTAATCAGTTAGATCTTCGTGGAAGACAACAGCGACATGTAGTAGTGGAGAAAGGTCAAACGCGGCATGTAGAGTGTAGAAAGGGGCAGCGGAGGCAGCGACTAATGACCGATTAATCGCACATTAAGCCACAAGCGACATCTTTGATAAGCTTTCAATATCACTATTTTAATAAAATATAAAAGTGACCCTAGGAGATGCTTCCGTCACCAGTAAACTGAAAATAAAAGCTGAATAAGGTTAACGGAGTCTTTCCCACTATGGGTGTAACTAGCTGAGTTTTCTGATAAGGAGCGCTGCATCAGGGAAAATCGATCTCGGGATAGTTACTGGCAGCCGGTTGTACGGATGTTGTAACTAGTATCCATGTTCTACTTAACAGATGTAAAACTCGGGTAGCAGGGCAATATTTGTGGTCCCGCGTCCTGTATCGTCGAATTGTTTCCTATTTCTCTCTTCCCTCACTGGATTTTCCGAATTTTGTTCAAGATATGTTAATTTCATCATTGATTTTTATTCTTCGTTCCAAGTCTACATGTTGTTGCATTTTTCTAGACACCCCTTTTCTGATCTCCTTCTATTATTCCCTTATTTTTAGGCCTTTATGCAAGAAAAATGTCCAATAGTTTTATTTTCAAGAAATTTAATCCCTACTGTAGTAGCCTTTGGTGAAGGTTTAAAATGATTTGGTGAAATTTCGGCGTGACATGACTTTTTGAACTGATCTTGATTACTCCAAAATGTCATCTATAATATGACACATATATTTTCCTCTGCAGTTCCTAGCAGTCCTTTCTATATTCACTCATATGTTTGATCTGTACTTATTAGCACCACTATAAATCTTTATAGGTTAACGATTAATATTTCTGTCTCCGTTGACAAATGCGTTGCATAATGGTACCAAGTTGGATTTCTACTAGTTTTGCGAAGTTAATTTCCGGGTTTAGATTTAATAAGATTTTTCTCTTTTTATTGAAAAATTTCGAGTTGCGTTCAGTAAAGACTAGAGTTCTCTTGAAATTTTACTTAGAAACTTTCTTCCGGCCATTAGTAAGGTCTTGTTTTCATCGTCAAACAAGAGAAAGAAGAAATACTTCTGCAACGAGTTGGAAATAAAATTATTGAGTGATGGAAAGCCATACTAAGACTTATTGCAACGCTCCTAAGAATGAAATGTTCTTGTTGCAATACTAACCTTTACCTCCGTTTACTAAATGGAATCTGTGGCTGAATAGGCTACTTTAATCAGCATACTATATAACATACTTGTTTTATCAACTATATCAGTACCTTTCACATTTCTTAGCTAGATTATATTGTTCATTCTGTTCCATTTAAGATCACTTCAACAATTTTAATCCTTGTTTGATGGATAAGGATAATTTATGTTGAGATAGTTATTTGTAGTTTATAGGAGGTATCATTCAAGTAAATGGGATGATTTATAAAGTTGCACGAAAGTAGAAGCAACAGAAGCTCTTTTCGTGGAGTAAATTTCATCCTAAAAGTATTCAGATATTAAATTTTCGTTAGTGAAAATTTCCATATGAAATGTATCAGTTAGAAAAATTCTTTTATACTCGTCTTATAGATTACACTGCTGACATAAGTGCAAAAGGTATCTATTTTAATGGATATCCGGCCAATTGTTTGAATACACTCCGTTATTCTCCAGCTTTTACCATAAATTCATGTTACAGTGTCATTGCTATTAAATATCATTTTTGATCGTTATCTTCCTTCCGGGTTCTTCATCAGATGCTTTGAAAATTACTAATGGTTTATCGAAGATATTACTATTAAAGGTACATCGGCTATGTTGCGATTTGACAGAGACCTATCTGCCAGTTAATATCTGAAAATAAGCAACATAAAGGTACTGATTTAATGAGGCGCAATAGTAATAGATGATTATTCGTTATCAAATGTTATTTTTACTAGGTACTTTATTAGTGCTTCACATATCTCAGGTTGGAAGACACATTAATCTATAGCAGTGAAGAATTCATGAAACAGTTTGTTGCTTTGAGAGGAAAAATTTGTGCAATCAATGAGTAGAAAAGTCATCAACAAACATCGGTGAATCGATTACTGTTTAGAAAAGGAAGAATTTTGATTGCGGTATATTCTTATTTGTTCAGTCTAATATTCTTGACGTTTGCAATAAGATATTGAAATGTGAAATGAATCTTAGTAATTGAGATTATGCTACTTTTTATCAAACGACAACTGACACTGTTATATCAATATAAAAAAGCGAACTTTTAATGAAACGTGAATTCTAATATCACTTGGTGAAATTTAAATATCAAATATTTGAAATTTTCGTGTAAGAGTGCTTTTTTGAAGCAGCTTTAGTGCAGCAAAAGACTTCCACGTTTGAAGTGAATTAACAAAAGTATTTAGATTAATTAAAATTGATATAATGTGTATTTTATAGAATGCCCGACGGGCCGATGGAACGTTTCCTGACACGGCGTTCAGTAGCCGTTCTTACGGGCAGTTTGGCATTCGCCGTTATGTACTGGTACATAAGACGACAGCAAAGTTTGAAATGGTCTGCTTAGTTTCATGTGTGCCAGGCGTTGTCTGTTTAGTTAAAAAATGAGATATAAGAAAAGCTGCAAACTCTGGAAGTCTTCTTCATTATATCGTTTCTGCAAGATGTGTGTAGTTTGCTTCAGTAAACAGATATTGACTCAGATAGGATAAATTTTCATCAAGTGATGTACAGTATGAATATAGTCACAATTCCACCTTTACATCTGAAAAATTGTAAACTAACTGACACTTAAAAATTGTAAACTGCAGGTTGTCTTACCAATAAACTGGTTTTATTTTAGTGGAAGCAGAAATAGAAAGGTGAATGCAAAGTCATGCAATCAGAAGAGCTTTGACGTTCTGAAAGAGAATAGATCAAATTCAAAGGAAAACATCGCATCAGCGATGAAGCTGAATGACGATATTATGGATGTGATGCCGAGCGATAACGTTGGAGATGCTGAACTGGATGGTAACCAGTTTGATGGAAAACTCAGTGATGACGTGTTAGTTGCCGTGTTGGATAATGATGTGACAGATGCAAACGATATACCTGTTTTAGAAGGCTTAAGTAATAGTTTACCAGAATCAGAGAGAAGTCCAATTGACAACTTACCTCACTCAGATAAAATTTTGGTGAGTTCTAATTTTACTTTTTTCAAACAAATAGCTCTTCTATTAATCCTCATGAGAATTAATACTTATATTGTGAAGCATAGCCACTAAAACAAATTTTTTGGTGCACATTCATATTTCAATAGTATCGAGTTGCGCTACTGATAATTCATAACCGGTATCGGTAATATCTTTATCTTTACGATCTAGATTTGTTTCCAATGTGTGATATATAACAAATGCTTGGCAGCTTTTGCTCTGCTTTATTGGTATCAATGCTTGAAGCAGGCACACTTTTATTCATTAAGATTCATTCTACCATGTTATCGTTCTAAAGTGGCAAAGACAAACATTTTAAATTATCGTTGCAACTATGAAAGGCCAAACTGAAATAATATATATCTTTCCATCCAAAACTTTTACTAAAAGGAAGAAAAAACTTCATGCTGTTTAATGAAAGATATATTCGTACTGCAAAAATCAAATTGCTTTTAACATGGAAGGTAAGTTGTACGATACAATGCGAAAGTTGAGGTTATTGCACCCACATTCGCAATTCCATTAACATGATAATAGACGCAAAACTCGAGATTTTCAAGTATAATTGGTCGTAAGCCGTAATCTCTATAAATTCATATAAAAAACGCTTTTTTGAGTAGTCGATTTGTACTTTCTTTTCATCATTTTTGCTTTGATCATTTTCGACGTCATTCATTTTGCAGAAACATGTTGATATATTAAATAACGCAGTTCTTTTTTCACATACTTTTCGTTCCAAAGAATGTTTCTCTTTTAATTGAATGACTGTTTTAATTATTGTATAGCGTCAAATATCACTGTTTGCGTACATTCGCCAAAATGAAATTAAATGTCGTATAACTGAGGTTTACCATTTAAGAAATGGTAATGGATTGTAAATACTAATTATTTGCGCATTGTTTTTTCCGAAGTTGACGGTTGCGAAATTTTGCATAAAAACAAAAACTGAGTTCAGTATCTCTTGCAGAAGTTGTCGAAATTTCTTAGAGAATCTTCTGAACAGAGAATCATCATGAACTGCAATAAACTGTGCAACAATCCAGCCCTTATTTTGAAAGTATACTGAATCTTCTTCATTTCTGTTAGACGCACATGTTTTCAGTTTTTTATTATGTTTCTCGAATCCAAACAATTGAACAAAAATATGTGAACAAGTACTACCAGTGACAGATGATGTTTGTATTAGTAAGGACTCAGTATTTCCGAGATATTTTGTTTCAAGTTCAATGTAATGAAACATATTGTGCTGCCCAGTATTCTTTTTACTTTCAATACATGCAGAATTTAGAAAATTTTTTAATAAATTGTTTTCCTGTTTTGTTTAAGGAATCCTCCATTTTCAGGTTGCCAATGAAGAAGAAAATTTGGAATCTACGTCGGTTTGGATGGAATCGGAAACTAAAGTAGGAAGTATTTGTAGTAGGAGAAAAGGCGAAAATACTATCGACAAGCAGACTTCCGATCCGAACATTATTGAATACAGGCCTCTAAATACACCGAGTAGTGAGGTTCAGTTTTTTATTAGCGGAATCTGTTTTTATGAATTACTGAAACTTAGAATTATTCTACTTGTTTTGGATTTCTTGATACTGTGATAATTACTGGCTGCTGCTGTATAATCGTTAAGTAATAGTTCTAGTGGATGTTCTGCCTAATTTATCAGCTGAAAATTTTTGAGTAGATAATGTCCAATATTTATATCGAAAATTTATTATTGGTGTTATAATAACTCTAAAGTATCTTTGGCACAGTAATTCCTAAAAAGAGAGGATATAAACTTCTTCCTCCACAGGGGTATTTTTTATCAGAAATTTATCGTTAAATTTCCAAAAGATTTGAAATGGGAATGGAAACAGTGAACTCAAAATTAATGCTTGATTTTGCGTCAGCGTTATGCACTTGAAGAAGAATTGCGAGGGCATTTTGCTCCTGTTCCCTCTACCAATTAATTTCCACTTCATACGCACCTCGGCACATCTTTTTCCATGTCACCCTTGTAATCGTGTCAAGATTTCAAATATTTGTCGCAGTTTGTAATTACTGCGCTGGAAGCTTCCGTCGTTCTTTGAAATTTCGATCGATAATGTCTGCTCCTCACTTCTATTTCCATTCTTCCAAGTTAATTTTTAAAACGCAGAATTGCAATTTTTCCGATCTGCTACTTTATTTCCTGCAAAGGGTCGTTGTTTTCTGGAGTGTTTGATTCACTAATTTTCTGCAGATATTTGCGGATCCAGTTTTTTCTGTTGGGAACATCACACATCAGCTTGTGGACATCTTTTATCACAGTCCTTTTAAATTAACCAAAAAGTTTTTTCTAGTGTAGTTTCACACAGTTTTTTTCACATAGGCAAGCTGTTTTGAACTCACGTTTTTAGATATGGACTCTCTTATTTTCTCCTCAAAATTGAACTTTGTTTTTTCTTTTGGTTTTGGTAGTGGGAGTGATTAATTAATATTGGTGGAAATAGTATGAAGACTCAAAGCAACTAAAGGACAGTACCACTTATCTAGTGATCAAAGGTTCGTCGATCCGAACGGCCGGCACTTAAATCAACGGGTTAATTAAGTAAATGGATGGATGGTAGAAATTGTGACCTTCCATAATCTCGAAAACTAATTTTTTAAAAATTAAAATATTTGGGATCTATTTGCTCCGCCGGTTATGATACATACGAAAGATTTTTGGATTAACCAAGTATTTCGCCTTCTGTATTGCTCACTCTCTTATCGATATTACCGAGAGGAAAGATGAATTACTGTGGTTTTTCCCTACTTTTGTATGCACGAAATCTGATTGACCAGTTTTTTCAGCGATTTATGAACTTACGTTAATTTTGTTAGAACTTCAACGTTGCAGGACGCTGCGTGAATTTTTTCCCTATTGCTTTTTACTGTTTCTTAGTATACACAAATATTTCCAAATGCGTTAAAACGTAATTTCTGTGTTGGATAACGTTCATCCTTATATTCGCTGGATTTTACAAAAAATTCATAGGGAATAGCCATGAAGAACATTGGTATGTTTAATCTCTCTTAGGTGCGGTCATGCTTCAAATAGTTTGCCGCAAGAGATAAGATTTTGTAAGTTATGTGTGCCTTAATGTCTGATTCAAATCATAGTGAAGGAGGAGTTATCAGTGGAAGAAAAATGAAATATAAAAGGTTTACGTAAACCTTAGGATGAATCTTCAAGTACATGAAGGAAATCAGGCTTCAACTATAGTTTTAAGGATTCCAGGTTAGCTTTACTTCTTTATATCATTCGTTATGTATAGATGGTCGAATGAAAAACATGTTGTTTTTATTCATTCATATGCCCAAACTTTTCATAGAATAGTCTGCATAAGTTGTTCAGAGACGCTGTTCCTCCCTTTAGAAAAAGAGAGAACTTTTGACGAGTTGCTTAATATTGTTAGTATTAATTGCTTGCATGTTTCTTTTTTTTTTTTTTACTTTCTGATCTCCGTTCCACTTTCATTCAACTTTTACTAATATAAAAAACTACCTTTCTTTAGGGAAAGAAAGGTAGTTTTTTCTTCTTTTTTTCTCAATATTATAAATATACTAGCATTGTATAATTTTAATAGAAGTTATTACGGCAGTTTTTCACACTAAAGTTGCAAAGATATATAGTGCCGTGAAGTCATAAACATATGGCCGTCACAGTTCTGTCATTATGTTTCGTCGAGTAAGTTGAAATTTTCGCTTCTAATAGCTCTGTTTTAAAGCTTACCAGTATAAGTTTCGTGAGCGTTGGTATCAGTTTTCATGAGGGTAATCCTTGTTGCTATGTCGGGCATTTTCCGTCCTGTGTATGCTGATGCTGGGGATGCTAGAAGAATCACTTTTGTGTATTATTGGTAGGCTTACTGACTGAAAACGAAAACCATACGACTGCCTGTAGGGAGACATTTTTGATCAACTTTTCATCTCGAAAATTATTTTGTCAAATAATTTTGAAAACTCAAATTCTGCAAAGTTTTGATGGGAAACTGATGGGACCCAAATTTCATGGAATTCCCTGCTGCGCTTCTCCATGTACCCATATTTATTCTTGTAGACATGCTCACACTTCCGCTTATTTCTGTGTAAATAATATAATATTGCAGTTATTTTGACGGTGAGAGAAATATGGTGCTATCAACAAATCTGCAAAAGAGGAAAGTTTTGCAGGACTAAATTTACAAACTTCTATGTACTTCTACTTCCTGATTAACTAGTCTCTGTCAGTGATTCGGAGTACCAATGGTATAGTCCATATTGTATGCTTATGTAATTGCAGATGTAGAATACTTGCTTATCGACATTCCTCCTGTCGTTGTGTTTCATGTGGACGGTCCTTTTTGCATTTATCCGTTTAATCTCTGACAGTAACAAAACGTTGCAAAGCAGTCGTGGTAGGTTGGAGTAGAGTATGGAAGAAAAGATGGGATGTTGTGCGTGAGATAAGATAGCTTGTTAAGTTACCGAATAAGGTCAGCTTACTGTCGACTCGAGAAAAGGTTAGAGAATATACCCTACAATAGAAATGTGACAACTGCACGGCGCTTTATATAGTTGAGAGATGGGAGCCAGGGAGTTTGGCATCTTGCCACTAGCATGCCGTATGCCAAATGCCATACGGCCGTCATTCTTTTCTGGCACTCTTAGAAGAGTAAGAGATATGGGAGCAGAGAGTGTGTTCTGTGAGTAGAGGATGAAAGGAAGGGGATGCACGTGGATATGTGCTGAATGAAGGAGTGTCATCAAATGTTGTCAACCCCCAGCTGATCTTCGCTCTTTCTTCGCCATTTCTTCACGAGTGTCTATGCTGTCGTCGTCGGTGTTCTTCACTAGCGTCTGTGCTGTTGCCGTCGATGTATGAGTGTGCGTGTGTCTGTATTCTGTGTCTGTGTAATGTCTGTTTGTATCGCAGTATGCACGCCCATATCCATCAGAATGCATCCCCTCTTTTCGCTCGCTACCTATCCTCTGCTTCCATTCAGCGTTATATTGCGTAATAGCGTATGATGCTGACTGTCGCATTGTTACGTTGCAGCTTTCGTATGTCTGTCTCTGTCCGTATCATCGTTGGATTATAAAAGGTGTGCAGAGGGGTGTAGGACTTTCTCGATTAGGCTTTGGTCTTATTGGTAGTTGAACATTTTGGGGAGTTTCGTCTTATGTTACTTTCATCACTGTACATATTATTTGCAGGTTTTTGTGCCTGTTGCTTCTGCCTTGAGAGGGCTTACGGTCATCGCTTTCGGATTCTATCATTTTTTTTTGTTCCCGATTTCACTTCCGGAAATTTGCCGCGACACTCCTTATATTTTGGTTTTGAATTGTTTATCTCTTCAGAGGAGAAAGAGAACTACTGAAGTTGCTGGGCACCTGTGCTGTTGCCTCGTTAACGTACGGGATGGATCAGGTGGTTATCACAGCCACATCAACTACCTCGCTTAATACAAGCTTTCAAAGTGGTGGCACTTACCATTATCCCAGTACCGTTTATCCACCATTTAAGTCTCCCTACTTGGATTCTGAAAAGTCATGGATATCGAACCTCCATATGGATCCTTTCCTATTACCGATAGCTGCTGCTAGCTCGACGACCTCTACAATTTCGGCACAAATTTCACCGTTATCGCCGATTCCAGCATCATTATTCTTCCCTCTCCAAAGTATTCCTTTTAGTCCATCCGTGATGATACAACGCCCATCTACCACAGTATCCAGTGTTAGCAACTGTACATCCAAAACCTTATCTGGTTCCGGACGGTCCAGTGCATCGTTAAATGCGGATGTAGTCCCACCTTCTACCTGGGTCGGTTTGTTTTCTTGCCTTTTTTTTTACAAAGCATCTTATTGATTTATTTACAGCTGTACTTAATTCAGTGGGAACATTTATGTCTTTTAATTCGTTCCTCTTGTCTTTGGGTTTATACCTGAAATTTCGTCCATATTATATACTTTTTTCTAAGCAGTCATGAGTACACATCCTTGAGTACATATTTTGCCCTACCCTATAACGAGCATCGTTTAAATATAAGGATGGACGATGGCCTTTTAATAAAACGATTTTTCGGTTATATATATTTTGATAACACTTTGATTTAATTGCCGAATTTTAGTACCTTTTCTAACTGGATAGTCGACTAATGTAAACAGTCATTCATCTTCATAAATTTCCAGTTGTCTTTTTTCTCTTTCATTTATTCGTTTGCCTGCCTGCTCCATGACACGGAAATTTTCAAATGTAATCAGTTAATCAGTAATTTAATAGTACTAGTGCAAATTAATATTGATTATGTATATGACACATTATCGGTTTAAGTTGAAATTATCATAGGTGGATATAGGCTGGCATTTTGGTGTCCTGAGTTTGGTGTTTCCTACCTTTCGAAGCAGGTACTCAGTTCATTTTTCAAACTTCCAAAACAAACAAAACCATAATTGCCAAGTTTCCTTTTTTTCTAGTTTTGTTTTAGATTCCATAGTCTAAAGCCTAAATTTATGGTCACAGGATTTATTACTTTTAGGGATCGCAAGATAGTGGACGAGCAACGGGAGGTTTGGCTTCGTCACTAAGTCCGGCTGATGATACAGCACCACGAAGGAGTTCAGAAATGCGATCTGTTTATGAGTTTGAGATACCTAATACATTAGTTGGATTGATCATTGGTATCAAAGGCAAAACTATAAAGGTTTTTACTCATTTATTTAAATGTTGTTTGTTAAGACTTTGAAAACGGAAGAAAGATCGCTTCCAATAGTTGTTTCAAGCAATTATATTTGCTTACGTGATGCATGGGATATTTCCAAGTTTCTTGCATGGATTCGTGCTACTTTTCTGTTTTTTCAAACTATCTAAATTGAAATTGAATATTTCCTTCAAAATGATAACATCAAGTAAACATTTAACTTTACAAAGTGATGGAACACACAAGCAAATATGTGAATAATAAGAAAAGGAAAAGCATTCAAATTTGTTCAGTTTAGATGTTTCAAACAGCAGAACAAAATTTCATTTCCTCATATCGACCAAGTAGCTTCTCTTTTTCATCTCATATCTATGTCATTGGCTTTGAGTGTAATTTATGCAAGCAACTTATATTGTTTTTGGTTCTCGTACTTTTTTGCTATCTATCCTGGTATGATTGTTCTTTTTCAGGAACTGTGCCTTCGTACGGAAGTGAAAATGATTATCAGGCCTCATCATACACCATCAAAAGTAAATTTTCCGTTTTCTTTCAGATTTGAAATTCTAGAAAATTTGCATGCATATATTTAGTTTTGGATTTCAGATTTTAAATCAACTATATCATAATCTCATTGATTTTTGTTATAACCATTTGTTTTTTTGTTGGAAATATGCTTGCTATTTCTTTCATCTCTTCCTGTACTTTCTCTCTTAACTTTCTCCGTAACAGAAGAAATTGCGTTACTTTGTTTCTTTCCTTTTGCTTGATCATTTTATCCTTCTACACGTTTCTTTTTATTTTCTTCCTTTCTCAAGTTTTTTTCTTTACCATGACTTGCAACAATGATAGTGACTATCTCATATGTCACTTTGTTCATCATCAGTTCCTAACGGTATCTAAATTCAAAAATTTATGACGTTTTTTTTGAGACTTTTTCCAAAATTAAGAAAATGAGACTCTGCTTATTTTTTCGAGACGCTGTTTCTATTAGCGGCAGTAGTTAGAATATAGAATTGATTTAAATGTAGTTCTATATATGGTCTAGTTCCTTTGATATCACTAGTTACAGTTAGAAACGCATCAGATTTGCGCTGTGGAAGGATCACGTGAAAATATCAATAGATGTCTACGAATGATGCGGCGCCGTTTTCCTGCTGCTCGTTTTCCGGAATTGAATTTAAAACCTGTACTGCCACCGCCATTTCCTGACCCACCAACAACACTTTATGGCACGAGGCCTGTGCAGGTATTTCACTTTTCTTTGTCTAGACTTGTTCTTTATTGATGTTTTCTATACCGAAACGGATGCCAATTCGATTCAAAACTTTTAAGCATTTTACTCAGTTAGAAACCAGCGTGGATTTTTGATGGGATAAAAAGATCATAGCTCTGAAATCTGGCATGTTTTACTTATGAAATTTTTTCAAATATAATACTGGTCTCGGTGGTGCCTTCACTAATCAGTGTTTTAATACGATGCTACATTGCAATGTGTGAAATAGTGCGGGCTTTATATTTTCCAGAAAGTTAGGAGTGAAGAGGTCGGACTTTGAGGGAGTAAAATCGCAAATTAAAAGGAGTTATTCGTCTATTAGAAGTGAAGGGGTCACTCATTTCATATGGATTTTAGTAGTGTATGGTTTAAAATATGTTGAATAACTTGAAATATATTGTAGCGTTTCCCTCCATATGGTACATAATTTCCGTTTTAGAAAAGAAAGAGTAATTGATCATAGGTGATAAGACCGGGAAGTGGTAGTAGGTGGAGTTAGTGAGCACCAGGCAAAAGAATAGTTTAAATGAATAGACTACCCTCTGTCATCTGTATAAAATTTCTTATTTCAACGGGCAGAATGCGTTTTTAGAAAACGATAAGAATGGAGTAATAGTGGCATAGTGTGAATGATGTCTAACAACTGCCATTGCAGACGTTGTGTAACTGCACCGAAATAAACTCACAGACATATTCCGCTAACTAATGTCTGCATAGCAGTACATGTAGTGATTTCAAAGATGAATTTAAAATTTATGATTTAGTTTTGGTGAGAAAGACATTTTTAGAGTGCGTATTATCTTTATTCGTATTTTAAATTAGAAACAGAATGCAATTCTGATTGAAGTATTTATCAAATAAACGGCTTTTTAGATAGTGTTCATTAGTCTTATCCATTTGCTATGCATATTCATTCATATTGTAGTAGCCTGTTCGACTTAAGTTTCTCGAAAGTGTACAACTGTTTTCGAAATTTAGGAATAGAGGAAACAATGAATTACATAATTACAAGGAATAATTAGATATTACTAAAGCTGTCTCAAGTACTTTTTACTTTGATTTCATTTGTAAGATGTTAGTGAGGAGGAAGACGAATAACGTGTGAAAGACTTTTTTGAATTTTAGGCATGGGAAACTTATGCTTGTCTAACAGAGAATAGTTTTTCTAAAGGATAACGAAGTTTGCATTTAGTGGGTATCATTAAATAGACGAACAAATCGTCGTATGATTGGGTTGTGAGATTTTATGAAGTTTTTGAAAAATAACTGTGTAATTGGACTCTATAAAAATGGATAACCGTGGCGTTGTGGACGAGGTAGGAGGTTGGTAGTAACGTAGTTTGGAAAGTGATGATTGATATTTTACAGTTAACATTGCCGGAGGGTGAGCGCTGTCGAGTAATTTGCTCAGCTACCATTGATGTCGGCCATTTCTTCCTTCAACAACCGCAACACCCAACATTTAACGCACTGCAGCGGCTAGACTACTATATGCTTGGCGTCTATATGCAGCCAGCAGGTGTACCTGATTTACCGAAACCAGTAGACGGTTGGTATTGTTATATTTTTAACATTATAAAACTTGGTACTCTACGAAAATAAAGCGAATCAGGCTGTGATTTGTGGAAGTTTATTATATTTCTTGCTTTCAAGTTCCTAAGCTTTGGGAATTTTCAGTCGATAAGTTATGTGTTGCACCAGCTTTTGATGGTTGGTTTCGTGCAGTAACACTTGATTACTACCAGGAAGAGGATGAAGTTATGGTAAGATATGTAGATTATGGTGGTTATGGTCGTCTTCCAAGAAGCGATTTAAGACAAATAAGGTTAGCAAATCAAGAATCTAAGACAAAAATTTCCTTTCGTTAAAGTTAAGTGGGATGCGTTCCTTAGTTGAAGACTTATCTTCCATTTGGAATTAGAGATGGGGACAATGTTTCCATTTTAGGGCACTAAAACTTATGTATATATAAACTTCGCTATCACAAAGTTTTGAATTCAGGTGTTTATTCTAACGCTTGAATTCTGGAATCTTTCAGAATATTCTACAAACTTTAATTTTGATAGTCTGGTAAGTGATTCTGACATAAATAGTAATATAACATTAATAATGATAAGAATGAAAGGGATGCTGGTGTGGTACTTATGGAGATAAAGTTTGGAAAAGGCGCAATTTTTCTCAGTGAAATTTTTATTCTGTTACAGAACTGATTTCATGACGCTGCCGTTTCAAGCTATTGAATGTTATTTGGCACATGTTATGCCCGTGGACGGTATTATTTTCTTTTTTTTGTGAACGGATGAGAGAAAAAAGAGGAGAAAAACTAGAAGCTTATTAAATCATGGAAGTGTGCGTGTGATTCTCAGGAAGGTCGATCACCTCCTTTCTCTTTGATATTTGGTGTACTCCTATAGGGCATTTACCAAAAAGCTTGAGATATGCAAGAATCTCGAGTTAACGGTTACATTTTAATTTCTTGTATTTTATTTCATATTATGCTTTATTTTTAAGGAACAACAAAATGGTCCGATGAAGCACTGAAGTTGTTCCAAACGTTAACGCATGGTCGTTTGCTGGAATGTTATGTTGTCGGTTATCATATTGAAGATTCAAGACCATTTGTCGAAATATTCGCAACTGATGAAAATAATAGGGTTGCTTTCCTAGTTTCAGACAACAGTTACCTTCAAAATTGGTTGTGGGTTGTTTGAAGTTTGAAAAAAATTACAAAGATTTAGAAATCGAAACTGAAATAATTTTTTATTTTCTTCAGGTGGATCGAATTGATAGTGCTCTGTTAGATGCAAACCTTGCGAAGGCATGGGATCCGTCGAAGGTTAGACCAGTTCTTCCAAGGCCAGCACCACCATTATCAACCACACTTTTGCTTGGTCGTAGTGGGAATGAAATTTTTGTCACAGAATGAAGATCGGGAAGAGTGTAAAACAGTTCATTTATTGAAATGATGCAAAAAAAAAAAATGTTTATGCACAGAGCATTCTGTTTTTGTCAGCAATTACATTACAATAACTCTTAATGAGTGGAAATTTTTTCGCGGCAGTTGTATAATTTCAACTTTTGTTCAGTTTTTGCTGGAATATTTATGAATTTCCTTCGGCCGTAGTAGTATTTCAAATCACTGAATATCTTGAGGTTTTATTTCATTTCCTCAAATTTCATATTTTCTTTCTAAACAAATGTAGGCTTTGTTGGTTTTTTTTTTTTGTTTTCGATATTCTCAAAATACGGAGAAAGAGAAAATTCCTTTGGTTTTTTTTGAGTTTTTGATCAGGTGTACTTCCGTTTTCTATTCTGTCCATGTTTATACATATTTTCTGCAGTGTGCTATCTTAGTCTCTGGCCTCTCCTACATTTTTCCTCTCTTGTTTTTATTTTTTTTTCCCCCATTTTTCCGAAAATCTGGGAAGTTTCAGTTTTGCAATAGTTCCGGGCTCTCATCTTATTGATTATTCCCATCTCTGCCGTCTTTGTTTTTACCACTACTTCCCGTTCCTTTTTTTTTCTGGCAGTTATTTATAAGATATGTGCTATTGTACGAGAAATTGTGTATCGCTTTCATGGCAGATTTATTCTTTCCTGTATATTTCTGTTTTGTTTATCGCCATTGGTGTTTTGTTTCAGGTTTCCACAAACCATTGTTTTGCCGATTTCAAATAGAGAGTGTTAAAATAATCCTTTGCTAGATGTAAGCTGGCTTTTTATGGCGATTTCCATTTTGATAGCAAAATGTTGGTTTTGCTATAAATCATTGCGCAGATTATGTAGATGGATTTTTTGGGGATCATAGCAAAGTTGATGCTTGTGAAACTTAGTTATGTTTGGTTTGGAGAATGCAGCTGTCGCTATAGTTTTCTATAACTTAGATTGGGTACTGGAGTTAAAAATCGAAGACGACTATATTAACTGACTGGTATTTGAGAATAAGGCTCTTGGCTACAGGTTGCCAAAAAAAATTTAGGTTTTGGATGTCAGTCTTCTATTTTACTACTCCGGCTTCTACTCCACCTTCGTCATTCTGACCCTGTGTTTAAGACACCGGGTACTGCTTGTTTACATACTGTTTCAATTTTAACGTTGTTTTCAATCAGACCAATTTCGGGTTTCAAATCAGTTCAATACCGATATTACTATACATTTTCATTGTTTTTTTTCCTTACTGTCTCCTTGGAATTTGTTTGCTGTTGCTCCCTCATTCTTCATTTTTCCTTGTTTAATTCCATTTAAATAGTAAGTTTATCGGTTTTATTCATTTTTTTGGGATTTACTTCATGGTTTTTACTGTGCTCGTGAATTAAATAGGTATTTTTGACACATTTGGTTTTGTTGCGCCTGTTGTGAGAGAGCACATGTCACTAAGTGAACTAAAACGAAGATTGTACGCCGTTAGAGGGAGACCTTTCCCTCCTCTCTTCCCGGTAACTAAGCTGCTGAAGCAGTTTTGTAAGGTCGAACTGAATATATTGGGGACAAGGATCGGATACACATTGGTAGAGAATAAGACCACAACAAATAGACTAATGTGGATGCATAATTGACATATTTTATTGCGTTCCTTCGAGTGATTTTGTGCATGGATATAAGATTTTCATTACACAAAACTTGCATTGTTCCATGGAGCTACCTCCGACTGAGGAGAAAAAGGCAACCACCATAAATGCAGAACTCCAGATAAGGAACCAACCGGAGCATCTGAATTCTTCACAGCTAGAATTAATAAAGCATTGCTTTACTAAACTGCATAAAAA